AAATACAGTTCTTATTTTCTGGGTTGAGATAGGAAACATTCTTAGTTTCTGTATTATTGTGATCAGACACTTAACCTTAGACGAGTACTGTTTCTCCTGCCAGTATTTTTGCAAGTCATAGCACCTCAGGATTTGCCAAAACCTTGACATATTGTCATGATCTACGAGAGGTCAATTCCATCTCCAGATACAGTGATCGTTGTATTTCATGTTCAGCCTGGTTTTTAATTTTTTTTAAAAAAGAATATCTCCTCCTCTACCACCTCTTCCCCCTTCTATTTCTAGTTTTTAATGTTTAAAAGCAACTGTAGCCCTGACCAGTGTGGCTCCGTGGTTAGAGCATTGGCCTACACACCGAAGTACCAAGGGTTTGATTCCCCATCAAGGGGCACGTACCTGGGTTGCAGATTCTATCCCCAGCCTCGGTCGGCACATGCAGGAGGCAACCAATAGATGTGTGTCTCTCACATCGATGTTTCTCTCTCTCTCTCCCTCTCCATCCCTTTCTCCCTTCCATGCTCTAAAAATCAATGGAAAAAAATATCCTCAGGTGAGGATTAACAAAAAAACACACAACTGTAGTAGAGTTATGATTTAAAGGGCCAAACCTAAGTAAAGTCTGGGCTATTTTTTTCCCCTCCTATCCTGACTTTCTCTAGCTTCTATGTTTAAACCATTTTGTTTTCCTAACAAAAAGAAAATATATGTTGTATTTATCAATATTTCTTATGGGAACTCACATACCACTTTCAGCATAAGGGCTTCCCTAGCAAGCAGGCTCCACTGTCTGCATCCTTGATTTCTGTGGGTTTCCAAGGGCTTGTTTCAGTGTAGACGCTGAGGCTTGCTCAGATATTATCATCATAGTTACTAATGGTAAACAGAGTGCGCCTCCCTTTTCATTTCTCCTCATTCGTAAATGTATCAGTTATCTGTTGTGTGTAACACTTAAAGCACATGTAGGTATAACTTCCTTGGTTATGCTCTGTTAGAGGAGGAGGGCAATGGAAAGCGGAGTAGGAACTTACTTAGTAAGTATCCTCGGGTTCATTTTTAGCAGAAGGAAAAAAAAGATGATGATCGTAGGGAGTTAGTACATTTTTGTTGTTTTTGCTCTGATATTATTGCTTTTCCTTTATAATGAAATAATTTATTTTCTCTTTGAATTCACTTCTTTTTTCTTTTTGGAAAGAAATTTTTGGAATGATGAGGAGGAAACTTGGTCTTTCATGCTTGGACTGGAGGAGAGAGACATTTTTGTTTAACAGGTAGACTAGCACAAATTTCAAAGGAGAAATAGAATATAATCAAATCAAGTTAAAGATTTTTTTGTAGTTAATCTAAGAGAAGTGGTCTCTTGATAGTTAGGAAGATACTTAAATATCTTTGTACTGTTTGAATATGGATTTGGTTAGTGATGGATTGGAACCCACTAAGTACAATAAATGTCAGTAGTCCATACCAACCTACATAAATAAACGGATAAACAAATAAATGGGGAAGAAGGGACAGCCCTTCCTTACAGGAGAATTCTAATGAAAAAACAGAGATGGATATAGGAAAACATCATTAAGCAAATAGCACAGTAATAATTATGGTAGGCAAGAACTTTCTGTAGATACAAAAGTTACTTGGCAAAGTTATGATGAGAAACATGGTATTTGCAGAATCTCATAATATCTCCCTACAAGGTTACAAAGGATGGAGCAACCTGGCAGATACCACCTTAACCGAGTTAGAAAGTTAACAGCACCAGTGTTGAGACAGGTTGTCCTCATTTACCTCCCGATGGCCCAATACCACTTCTGTGATGTTCTTGCCAAAAATGCACAATCTTGATCTAATCATGAGAAAACATCAGACAAACCCAAATGGGAGAGCATTGTACAAAATAACTGGCCTGGACTCTCAAACATGCCACGGTCATGAAAGGCAAACACAGATCAGGAACTGCCCCAGGTTAGGCAAGGCTGAGGAGACAAGGGAACGGAATGCAAGGTGATGTCCTGAACTGGATCGGGAGCGGAAAAACCCGGACATTGTGGGTCAGTTTGTGAAATTTGAATAAGGCCTGCAGATTGTTTAATGATGTTGCATCAATGGAAATTATATTATTTTAATAATCAACTATGGTTATGTAAGGGGTTAACATGAAGAGAAATTTCGGGAATGGCATTTAGGAACTCTGTTTAATTGTTGCAACTTTGTGCCAGTCTAAAATTACTTCAGAATAAAAAAGTTAAAAAGGAATGTCCTGGTATGATTTTTGGAGGATTTGGAATTTATTTGTTGGCAGCAAGAGGATAATTGTATACCATAAGATACCTCTTACAATCTCTTTATTATTCTCTAGGATTTTCATTTTCATAGTTCATTTTAGAGGCCCTGCATTTTTTTTTAAAGGAGTAAGCCTTTAAACTGTCGCTTGATTGAGCCTTCAGCAATCATCCTAAAACATTTATTTCAGTTCTGTAATTGTGAAAGACCTTGAGCAACAGCGACTTAGCACTTAGCTCCAGATGGCAACGGAATGGGAATTTAATACTTTGGATCATCATTTTATTTTTTTTCATTAATCTAATCCAGCTTTCTCTCATCTAAAGCCAAAAGTATGATAGAAACATTTCAGAAAATTAGCTCTAATCTGTGAAATCCAACAAATGATAAGATCAAGGAGTAGAGCTTTTTGAAAACGTATGCACATTTATTACCTGCCCAGTAAGTTAGGTTCTTTGAGGGCAGTGTCTGTGTCCTCCTGCCCGTGTATGTCCCCAGGCCGCCAGCCAGTGTCTTACCCATATCAGACTGTCAACAAGTCTCTGGAGGAGAGGCATGTCTTAGTGGCAGGGTGGGGATGGGAATGGTGTGTTTGGGGGCTTTATTCCAGAAGTATCGAACAGAGTGAAAAGTGATAGACCTTCTCATGATCACACATTTCAATAGAAAAATGGATTTACTTTATGATGGCCTAATTCCATACAAACCTTTAGCCTCAAAAATGTAAATAGAAGGAGAGTCAAAATAGAGTGAAAGACAAAAAATGTTGGAGACCTCTGACTTTCCTGCTGGCAGTAATGAGTCCTCTGATGAAATCTGTCTTTCTAATTTGACATTAAACCTCCATCTCTCCTGTGGTTGACTTTTTTTTTACTGCCTTGATTTCTGTCATTGGCCACATGAGCTTTTCTTCTGTGTCTAAAATATGTATCTCCTGCTGTCCTTGTCTTTTATAAACTGTGTTTGATTTAGTTGTTATATAAAAATGTTGAAAAACATCAACATTTTTAGGGGTTGATTTTGAGGGGTTTGAAGAAAGTCTTCATCAGTGCAGGGACAATTTTAGATGGTGTAAGAAGAGAATAGAACTGTCCCACAGAATCAAAAACCTCAAATAGCTTTATTTCGGGGGAGGGGGGAGGTGGTTAAAAATAGATTTATAGACTATCACTGAGTTCTCTTGGGCCCAAACGCTATCATTTCCCAAGTCACCTTGGCTGAAAGTTAAAGCAGAGTTAGATTATTTGTCCTCCACCTCAGATGAATCATTGACTAAGTCAGAAACTGAACTCTGATTCCTTAATGCTTGCACCTTCTGTCTCCAAGTGTATTTTATTTGAGGTGCCGTTGTCTTTTAGGAAAGATGTCCAGGTAGTATTATAACAGATGAAACAAAACGGGTTTTCAATAGCATAAATGTGTAACCATACTTAAAAATATATATATAGTAAAATGCACATAACACAAAATTAACCATACCTTTTTTATACTGACTACGCAGGAGGTTCTACTTAAATTTCCAGGTGAAAATGCATGTTTTCCCCCCAGCTGGACAAAAAGGTTGCAATTAAATTCAATGTATGTTTTACTGGAAATAGAGAAGATAGAACTTGCTTATTTTTGTGGTTCTTTATATATTTAACTAACTTGGGTTAATTAATTTACAAAATAAACAAATTTGTTGTTTTGTGAAGAGGAAGATTAGATTTTTGAATACCTTTTAAAATGTATTATATTTGTTAAGTGTAATGTTAGCCGCCTCATTTTTTTACTCTGGTTTTCTCAAAGCACCCTGCTTTCCGTTATCTGCAAGAACTTCCACCAAGATACGTTTTATACCAAAAAATATGTAATGGGTTAGAGTCAGAATTGCCGAAGTGTGTCCTGTATCAACTTGCTGAATGTCTGGAAGCCTACCATCAAATTCTTTGATACTTCTCAGTCAACAATATTTTAAGCAACGTCAGTATACTTACCTGTTGAAGTCAAGGGCACTATTATTTTTTAGAATTCCAGTTTAAGAGCAGTTAGCTTTGCTTGCATCTGACTTTGAAATGCCACTGAAATGTGACCAGTCGGAAATGGTTAGGTGTGAATCGTGGTTTCTGCACCTTTGGCCCAAATTGCTGTCTGAAGTGGAAATGGGAGTCTAACCACAGGAAATATGTTGGGCATTTCTTTTCTACCAGGGTATGGATGGCAGTGCATGATAATCAAGGGCCCCTGAAGTGATTTTTGTCAGAAAAAATGATGTTTACGTTGCTTAGAAGGTACTGTTTTCTTGGTAACAAATGACATATTCATAATTCCTGAGGCACTGTCTACCTGACTTCAGTATTTAAGGGTTCTAAAGCTAGAACTATAATCTTTTTCACATTTCTTAAATGAATCTAGAGAGAAAAAGAACATCTTTCATAATACACAAATAATTTGGGAAGTCTAAAACTTACATTGTCTGGTCTTCGTAGCCACTGATGGAAGAATGGAAGGTGATCAGTGAGTTCTGTCACCAGGGCCTTGAGGACTCCTAGCTGTGACAGATGATTAGGGATGACTTGGGGATTGCTGCTTGTGTTACTGTGTGGACAGTACAGAGACAAAGAAGTTTGCAAACAACTCGTATAGAGAAGACACAGGCAGCCAAACAAGGAGAGATCATCAAAGGCGGGTAACTCGGGCCTCTGTGATGACTGGTCTCATCTTTACAATGTGTCTGGTTTCAGATCGCCTGCTTGGTACCCGTGGATCAGTTTCAGCTTTATCAGCGGTTAAAATTTGAACGAGGTATGTATGCACTCTTTATCCCAATGATGAATGTGGTTTTACACGTGTCATCTGCATGGAAGACTACGGCAGGTGTGGGCTGTCAACAAGGGTGCTCGGAAAGGGGGAAAATGTAATCGGAACATACAATTTCAACTTTCTTGGCCACAGCCAGAAAATATTCGCACTAGCAGGAAATAGAACTTTCATTATATTGTTTTTTTTTTATTATATATTTTTAGCCCTGGCCAGTGTGGCTCAGCGGTTTAGAGCATCAGCCCATGGACCAAGGAGTTGTGGGTTTGATTCCAGTCAAGGGCACCTACCTTGGTTGTGGTTTGCCCCAGCCCTGGTTGAGTCATAAGGGAGGCAACCAGTCGATGTGTCTCTCCCACATCAATGTTTCTCTCTCTCTCCCCTCTCTCTCCTTCCCTCCCAATCTATCTGATGATAAATAGAAAAATATCCTCAGGTGAGGATTAAAAAAATATATATATATTTATAAATAAAGATATATATTTATTTTAGTGATTTGAGAGAGAGAAACATTGATATGAGAGAGAAACATTGATTGGTTGCTCCTTGCATGCACCCCAGCTGGGGATTGAACCTGCAACCTGGGCATGTGCCCTGACCGGGAATGGAACCAGTGACCTTTTGGTGTATGGGACAGTACTTAACCAATTGAGCCAAACCAGCCAAGGCTATATTGGTTATTTTGTATTTTTACTTTGGCTCATGTGAGAGAGGTTCTGCAAAAGTTGGATAGTTTCACAATAACAATGCTATTACAAAAGAAAGTGACCCCTCAGAATGCTTTTTATTGCCAGTTTTCTCACTCATGAAGATCACCCTAAATAAAACATTAGTCAACCCAAACATTTTTTTTTACTGCTCCTTATAATATTTACCATTTGTCCTTTTTTTTTTTTTAATTTATTTTTTGTTAATTTTAGAGAAAGAGGAAGGGAGAGGGAGAGAGAGAGAAACATTGATAAGAGAGAACGTTGATTGGTCGCCTCCTACATGTCCCCCACTGGGGCTTTGGCCCACAACCTGGGCATGTATTCTGACCAGGAATCAAACCGGCGACCTCTTGGTGCTTGGGTCGATGATCCACTACTGTGCCATGCTGGTCGGGTCCATTTGTTCTTTTGGTACTACTTTGTAATTATAATGATGGTTGAGTGTATTATTTCAATGTGATTTATAATTTATTGGACTAATTTTTTTTTATTGATTTTTGACAGAGGAAGACAGAGGGAGAGGGAGAGAGAGAATCATTGATGTGAGAGCAATACATTGATCGGCTGCCTTCTTCCATTGGCTTCTTTCACTGAGTAACATGAATTTCACTGCCACATCCATCTTTACAGCAGGAATATCCTGGCCATCGGCGAGGTTTATATGAAAACCCATTGGCCAAGACTCTCACTCTTACCCAGAAAGTACTTGAATTGCCTGGCTGGTGTTGCTCTGTGGCTGAGAGTCGACCCATGCACCCAGAGGTCATCTGCTCAGTTCCTGGTCAGGGCACAAGCCAGGGGTGCAGGCTTGACCCCCAGTTGGGGGTGTGCAGGAGGCAGCCAATCAGTGTTTCTCTCTCGTTGATGTTTCTCTCTCGAGATGTTCTCTCTCCTGCTCCCTTCCTTTCTCACTAAAAATCAATAAAATCATTTTTAAAGTGCTTGGATAGATGTTACCACACTTTGCTTTGCGATTGGGACTTTTTGATATTCTTGTAGTGTTTATCTCCACTTGTGATTGGCTTATTTTTCCTCAGATATGATGTACTCAGTCTGGTTACAGTCAGGTTGGGCAGACTGTCCTGCACATCTCTGCTTTGATGCACTGTAAGGTGATCTCATAGTTTTACTCATGTATGGAATTTAAATACAGAGTAAAATAAAAAGTAAATTCATGTGTTTATTTTACTATGGAACTTATTTTTTCTCACAAGTTCTAGGCAGATGCCTCACAAGAGATCCCCATAAATTGACAACTGATTTTATTATTCCTATTTTATAGACACAGAAACTTACAATTGAAGAGGTTGAAACTTGCCTAGGAGTGCATAGACTGTGTCTAAGCTTCCTTATCTAGAAAAGATTTTTAAATTCTATAGTTCTTTATTGGGGCAAAGTACATATAATATAAAATTCACTACTTCATCCATTTGCGTAATTATAAACAGACATTTTAGCTAATAAGTATGTCCCTGAAATGTAAACAATGAAGAATAATTATATTAGAAAATAGACATTTCAAGTAAGAGCAAATTTAAGTTAATGGAGTGCTACATACTGTGCTTGATCAGAGTGCTCTAAGCTGTGTGCCTCATCGTTACATACAAGACTTTGTGTTCACCTCAAACTCAAGACTTACAGCTAGGCAACTTTGAGGTCTTAGTTATAAAAAGCATTGTTAGTTTTGTCCAGTTTTTGTCGCCTACCGAGTTCTTTTCTCAGTTTTTAATTTGGCATCGGTTGTTTTAACTGTCATCTGCTTTACTTTACGTATGTCTTTGTTTTCATCTAAGTCTTCATGAGGGAAAAAAAAAATCTGTGGAGTAGGAGCGGGCCCAAATCATTTCTGTTTATATAAAGCAGAGAAACACCATTTGGAATTGGTTGGTTATTCTGTGAATCCACTTTGCATCCATCTGTGACTTTTTCCCTTGGCTACTGCTGTGTCTGTGGCTTTCCCTTTCTGATATTAGCAAAGAAAAGGGAATGCTAAATTTGGCATGTGTTGGCGATCATTGCTTTGCTTTCTGCTGGTTCACAAAGCACATGCCTGATGATTAATGCTAGAAGTTTGCTTTACTCTTGTTTCCAGGATCGACTTTTTCAGAAGAATTTTTTCAAAGATTGGGTTGATTAGCCATCTCTAGTCCTTAAGCACTTTTGCTTTTTTTTTTTTTTTTTTTTTGTGACCCTGTTTTACTTACTACAACTGCAAGTTGCTTCACTTCCTTGGTAGGTTACCATGTCTATTCTGGTTGGTTATATTATCATATAGTGGTTAGAAGCACACACAAAAATTTTAAAACTTTTTTAATCCTCACCCGAGGATATTTTTCCATTGATTTTTTTTCTTTTAGATAGAGTAAAAGGGAAGGAGAGAGAGAGAGACAGAGAGAGAGAGAGAGAAACATCAATGTGAGAGAGACACATTAATTGGTTGCCTCCCACACACCTGTAACCAATGTATGCACCCTTGACTGGGAATTGAACCTATGACTCTTTGGTCTTTGGGCCTGTACTCTAATTGCTGAGCCAAACTGGCCAGGGCAGAAACACAAATATTTACGTGTTGTATTGTTCTTCTTCATAAAGAAGTGAAGTAAGCCCTGGCTGGTGTTGCTAAGTGGTTAGAGCATCTGCCTGTGTACTGAAGAGTTGTGGGCTCGATTTGTTGTCAAGGGCATGTACCTGTTGCAGGTTAATCCCTTGCCCTGGTTGGGATGCATGCGGGAGGCAACCAATCAATGTGCCTTTCTCACATCGATGTTTCTCTCTCTCTCATCCCCCTCCCTTTCTTTTTTGATGGAAAAAATATCCTCGTGTGCGAATGAACACAAAAAAATAAGTGAGCTGAAATGGGAACTTGTTCTCCTGTTATCTACTAATCCTGCCGTAATCACTCATGTGTTCAGTATCTGCTTTTTATGTGGTGAGCATCTACTATGTGCAAGGTACTAAGTGTGGTTCCAGAAGCTGGTTTCGTCTTTCCTTGAGAGCCCTTTGGTCACCAGCACTTTTCACAAGCCTCCTTTCATTTCCAGTCTTAACACTTATCACACAGCTCTTCGCGTTCCGGCTCACTCTTTTCTTTGTCCTGGTGGAATGCTCCCGCCACATCTTTTGTGTCTGCTCAGTAAGGTTTGGTTTCACCAGAGTTCCCTGTGTAGTAATCTGTGGTCTTTCGGTGCTTTTTTTTATAAAACCATGACACTTAATGACCTTGTCTTTGGTTTCTTGAACACCTCCCATCTCTCTTGAGTCATCTTCCTTTTCATAGTTTTTGATCACAAGCCTGCTCTTAGAGAGAGAGAGAGAGAGAGAAAGAGAGAGAGTGTGTGTGTGTGTGTGTGTGTGTGTGTGTGTGTGTGTGTTTGCTTGTTGAGCCTGCTTTTGTGGTGGTTTGTGGTCAGTGAATGATGAAGTCCAGGGTTTCCTCCCTGAGCTGTTCTGTGCTTTCGGGTGAGGACAACTTCCTCAGCTTCACACTTCCTATTCTTTACCATCCAGTTCTTTCTCGTTGGTCAGTTTTAAACCTAAAATAGCACCCTATAGATATTCCCATCTTCCTTGGAAAATCTAAAATAGCTGCAGGAAAAGACATTTATCAGCACAGGGGATGAGCTTTCTAAAGGGGGCTCGAATGAGAGGCACAGTGTTAAGGGCCACTTCCTGGGTGCACTTCTATTTCCCCATCTGTAAAATGGGGGTAGAATGGAATGATTATCACAGGGCTGTTGTAGGGAGTGAGTAATGTGTGCCGGTCGCAGCGTGCGTTCAGTAAATTATCACTGCCATTACTGTTATTGCTATGAATCACTACCACCACTAAACCTTACGTCTTCTCCAGTTTTCTCAGCGAAACCACGGAAGCATCTTCCAGAGTCTAGAGCATACCTTGGACTGAGTGTGTAGCACAATTTTACTTCTGTTTTCTTTTCAGCTTAGTTCAGATCTTTTTCAGCATTTCCATCCTTGTTGTCCTAGATGCTAGAGAGTTGTATGGAAACTTAATAATCAGTGCTACTTCCTTGACACCACCTTATCATATCCATTTTTTTCCTACAGTATACCTTTTTTCTTTCATCCTCACCTGAGGATATTTTTTCCATTGATTTTTACAGAGTGGAAGAGAGGGTGGTGGTGGGGGCGGGGGCGGAAGAAACGTTGATGTGAGAGAGAGACATTGATTGGTTACCTCCCACACATGCCCCAGCGAGTGCCAGGGGTCAAGTCTGCAGCCTAGGTACGTGCCCTTGACTGGAAATTGGACCCATGACCCTTTGGTGCATAGGCTGACACTCTAACCACTGAATCACACGGGCCAGGCCTACAGTATACTTTTACTGCAAGCATGAATCTGCTTTCTATGACCTCCTCCCGGAAGATCATGACTTGCTGAGACGAAGCATTCAAAGTTGCTGCCTTGAAGAGAAAATGTTCCCATGGTGATGGTGGAAATTAAATCTGTTTAGTAGCATGATGATGTTTTTACATGGAGAATGCTTTCTGGGAGTGAAAAAGACCGGATCCCCTCGTACGTGCACTAACCCCGTTATGCAGCCTTCTGTGGGTGCTGACATAACCATGTTAGACTACATAACCTAGAAGTTGTTTCCAAGTTTGAAATGCTGTGGCCCTCCTCAGCTACCTTGAGAGCAGCCCCTCTGCCGATGGCCACCTCTGTCTGAGTGCATTTCCTGTAGCAGATGTTAATTCTGATCCATGTAATTTAATTGCATTTTAACTATCTTCAGAAGACCTTTTTCTTTGAGATAACAGAAAACAAATTAACGTTGGCATAATTAAAAATGCAGTGGGTCATAAAAATTAAACAGTTTGATTTATTTCAGCTGATAATTAAATTAGCTTGGGGGCATTGTGTTCCCCATAATAATAAAAATTCATGTGATGTCTTTTTCGGGCACAGCCTCACCGTGGTAGAGGATGGCAGAGAAGCCACGCGTATGAGTTGAGAGAATACACTACAGAATGAGAAACAGACTCCACACAAGTGGTGCTGATAGTTCCAGGTGGGCAAACCCAGGGTCCTGACTTCAGTTTTTGAAAACTGAAAAGTCACTGGTGTCAGATACGGTCTTTAGGTCTCATGGCCGTTTTACTATTTTTTTTTAGAATGTTTCTACTTCCCAATAATTGTCAGAATACAGAAGTAGAAAAGAATTTAAATAGCATTGCCTGCCTTGCAAAAATTGCAAGAACATGCAGAGCCTTAAGATCGCACAGTCACGGGGCTTTGCTTCAGTAATCCATTGTCATTGTCATAAGTACACTGCAGGGCAGGTCTGTGAATTTGTCCGTCTCTGACATGTGTATATTACAACTAATCACTTTTAAAAAGTTTTTTTTTTTTTATTGATTTTTTTTAGAGAGAGTGGAAGGGTGAGGCAGAGAGAGGGAGAGAGAGACATCAACGTGAGAACACACATCCATCGGCTGCCTCCTGCACCCTCGAGCCCATACCAGGATCGAACTGGAAACCTTTTAGTGCGAGGGACAAGGTGCAGCCAACTGAGCCACACCATCCAGGACACAATAATCCCTTTTAAATTGTGTTCATAGTAAAGTGTTTGGGGCACTGTTAGTTGGGGGCTGATGTACACAGACACCTGGTCTCTCTTTCTCTAGATTTCTGAACTTTTTTCCGTCTCAAAGCAATGCGAAGCTTTCAGTACTGCCAATGCAGGAGACAATAGTTGAATATGCATTCGTTCTTTTTTAGCCAACTTTGGAATAGAAACTTGGAGGGGGAAGAAACTAGACTTTAAATGTTTTGGATAAGTGCACATTTTATTTCCACAATTACTGTGTTTCCTAGGCCAAAAGGCAGGAGGTAGAATTGAATTCACCGTACTAGTAATAAAAAAGTGTTTTGAAAATCCCCATTAACCCAGTGGGGCTCCCCTTCCCCTCAGCCTCCTCCCAGATGGTTGGTGTGGAGGTGAGAGTTGGGGTACCGCTCTGCCCTTGCTCATGCTCCGTGATTTGGCCACCACTGGTGTCCACCAGTCTGTTCCCCTTTGGCTTGGGCTCTGTGCAGTGCTGTGAGCTGCCAGTGTGTGGTGGCCCTTCAGCATTTTTTCCTTTTCGACTAATCTGGCCTGTAGGCCCCTGTTGTGGAACACTATTTTACTTGAGGTAGGTAAAGCAGAATTGTGCTATTAATGGCATATTAGAATTATAATAATTAAATAAAACAACTCTATTAGCTTCCATTGACTGTTACTTATAGCTGCTCTTCTAGGAGCAGGGTTGAAGGGGAATATGAAGGACAGGTGCCTTTCGAGTGTGACCTGGCCAGACTTGTGTGTCTGGACTCACGTTCCATTGGGGGAAGCTCTTCTCCAGGACACTCCAAGGTGTCCTAAAAATAACCTTTCTGGGTCGTCGTTTCTGCTCTCTGGAAAGATCTGAGTGAGAGGCGGAACCATATGGAAACTTGCCGTTTATGTTCATGTGGAAAATAATGCAGTAATTAATAAATAATAATACAAGAATAAACTTTCACGTACAACTGTAAACCTACGTTTGCCCCACCCTGTATGTTGGTTCAGAGAAAAAGGGGCTATTCTGCCCCTGAAACAACATAATTTTTCACGTGATATGTTCCCTTGAAGCTCATATTATATGACAGAAACATGGGGCCTATTATTGTATAGAAAATGGAAGACTGAACAAAATTTGTAAACATTTGAATGGAGAGACAGACAGTCATCTGGGCCCCAATCCCTTGCATGCCTCATGAATCTAGCCATTGAGGTGTCTGACAAAACTATTATTTATGGTCTGTGAAAAAGTTTCTGCCTTTGGATTTTTCAAGTATGTGGTCTTTTACAAGTTGTCTCGAAGTGACATATTGGTCAGGTGGCAGAAGATCCTAGTTGGCAGCCAGTCTGACTTTTGACTAAGCTGTGCCAGACACTGTTAGGTCCCTAAATTACTTGATTCTTCCTTGCTCTTTAATGTCTCTCTAAACTGCAGAGGAAACCTCACGACCTTTTCTCAGTGCCTGAAAGGACAAAATCTTTTGTGAATTTTTTTCTTTAATTTATTTTTCTTTATTGATTTTAGAGAGAGAGAGAAGGGAGAGGGAGAGAAAGAAAAACATCGATGACAGAGCATCAATTGCCCGCCTTCTGCATGCCCCCCACTGGGGATTTGGCCCACAACCTGGGCATGTGCCCTGACCAGGAATTGAACCGGCGTCCTCTTGGTGTATGGGTCGATACTCAGCCACTGAGCCACACCACCTGGGTGTGAATTTTTATTTTCTTTTGCTTTGGTAAGTTCTTGATGTCCAATTTCCTCCAAGATAGTACCCAAATTAATAATAGAAGGGACTTGAGATTTTTACCTACTTTGAGTGCGGAAAGATGAGAACTGTTCTAAGAGCTGCACGTTTTGGTTCATGGGAACACTGCTTATCTGTTTATAAGGGCAGTGGTGGCCTATTCCGTTCGCACCTGCTCTGAGGAATGTGACGGGCTGAGTGACCATATAGGTTTGGATCCATCGTGAAGAAATCACTGCCCGTGATCGTACTAAACTTCCATAATTGTTAGCTTGTACAAGAGAAGAACTGAAGGGGGAGAAAGCCTGGAGTTTGAGAGACAGACCATCACCTTCCTTTTCTTTACACTTTAGAAGTTCACCTGGACCCCTACCGAACGTGGTGTCCCGTCGCAGACTGCCAGACAGTGTGCCCCGTTGCCTCGGGCGACCCAGGACAGCCCGTGCTGGTGGAGTGCCCTTCTTGCCACCTGAAGTTCTGCTCGTGCTGCAAGGACGCGTGGCATGCCGAGGCCTCCTGCAGAGACAGCCAGCCTATCGCCGTGCCAACGGAGCACGGGTAAGAGAACAGATGTGGTATTTGGGATTATTCACTGGTTTTCTCCGAAACATGAAATCTGTTGCTTGGAGGAGTCATCTTGTGATGGAATTTAGTGATTCATGATTTCCCTGCAGCACTTTATGGGAAGTGTTGCAAGTTAACAAAGAATAACCCGAGCAAGCATTGCTAGAGGGATTTTGGTTATTTCCCTCAGAGAATCTTTCAGAGATTGCTGAAATTAGTTGGTGTGAGTTTCGGTTTTTCTTTCGTTAGAGAGTCACATGGCCCACTGGTTCCCGGTTGGAAGTCATCGCTCATCCACAGCCATTGGCTTGGGTACCATGCCCACCGACTATTGACATGCCTCATTCTTCCTGCTTGCAAAGTGTGCAGAAATTATTTTCTTAACCTAACTAAATTGCCAGCTCAGGAGGTGTGCCAATCATATCAGAGAGAATACAGCCGTAGAAACAACAGCCCTTCAGTGTAGTGTGGTGCTAAATTCATAGGTCCTAGAGGAAAAGCGCTTATCTCTCAGCACTTTATGCTTTGAGAAGATGGTGCCAAGGTTGAGATTTTGTTATGATGAGAAGCAATTAAATCTGTACCTTTCAGCAGGGAGGGTTTTTATGGCAGCAGCAGGGCCCAGAGTGAGAGACCTTTGTGTTTGATCCCTTGCTTTGCCCGAGGCCATGGCTGTTCTGCATCAGCGAGAACAGAAATACCAGTGTTGTAGTCCAGTTGGCATCGTCCCCCAGTGCCCTGAGTGTGTAGAACCATTCTTCAGGAACAGCAGAGCTCCCTGGCTACGATACTGTGCTCGAATCTCAGACCAAACACATCAGGAGGGAAAAAAATTCCAGTACACATGGCAGGCACGTGCCCTTTAAGCCCGTACCCCCTTCGTCTTCACTGCCGCCGCAGTGAGGTCCCCGGCTGTCACAGGACAGTGCAAAGATCCCACAGGGAGAAGGCCTGAGTTCTGACATTGTCCCTTGGCATCCATGTGACCTTATGCAAGTCAACAATTAAAATCATAATTGTCCCGCTGCTGTATAGGTTATTGTGAGTACCAAATTCTCTCATAGTTTCTTTACAACACGGTGAAGTGGATGTCTCTGTGCTGGGTGGAAGTTTTGATGAATGGTAGCTCAACCCAGTGCTATGGCTCACCTGGCCTTCCCTCCCACTTTCCCCATGGTTTATTGTCCCTCGAGGCTCTGGCCTTGTATTGGCCTATCTCTCTGTTTGGAGCAGGACTTTTCAATGACATTGGCATTTACTGTAAAGTATTGATTATTGACTCCCCACAGCCTCCATTTGTTTATTTGAACAGCTCATTTGGTGGGTTATCTATGCCCCGGCAGATCCTGAGCTAGTTTTTCTGCTGGGTAGAGACTTGCACTTTTTATTCAGACAGTGTGTGCTCAGGGAACGAAACGCTAATTTGGCAAAACAATGAACTAAATCAACTGTGGAAAATCCGATTATATAGTTCACTCAAAGCCAAAGATAAATAAATTAAGGTCTGTTTTGTCTTGAGTTATCTGAACAACTAATAATTTCTCTCTCTCCTATTTTCACACCCACCCTTTTCCCTGGGGGCGAATTAAGCACAGAAAACCGAAAGTTCACTACCTACCCAGCAGGAGCCCTAGGAATTCCATCGCTGACCTGAACGTTGAATCTAGAAGGGCACTATTTCACTATTAGTTATATTTAGCCCACTCTTATCACAACTCTGGTTAGTGTACAGCCTTGAGGTCCTTGCTTTAAAAAAAAAAAAAAAAACAGGCAGCGTTCTCCATCCCCACCCTACGATTTGTCACGCACTTTGTTTCTAGGGCCCTCTTTGGGGCAGATGCAGACGCCCCCATCAAGCAGTGCCCAGTTTGCCGGGTGTATATCGAACGCAATGAAGGCTGTGCCCAGATGATGTGCAAGAACTGCAAGCACACGTTTTGCTGGTACTGTCTCCAGAACCTGGACGTAAGTTCCGTGGGGAAGATTCTCCTGGGTTGTCTTTCTCTGTGCCATCCCTGTGTGGCAGCAGGGTCCTCTGCAAGCCTTTCTTTCAGAATATTGAACCACTTTTGCCCTGTGAAATAATTTATTTTTTGGAATGAAACTTCCTGAACCTGATACTTTGAACATCTGTAAAACCTCTCTCTTTGATTACCTTAGGCGTGTCACTCTAGCTTTAAAAGCTTTTGTTTTAGGGACATTTCCTGCGTTGGGGGCATTGTCTCAATCTGTCATGTAAACAGCTGTTCGTGTATTCATTGTATGTTGCTATTGTAACAAATTACCAAAAATGTTGGCTTAAAATGACACATATTTCTTTTTTTTTTTTTTTTTTTTTTTTTGTTATCCTCACCCGAGGATATTTTTCCATTTTTTGTACAGATAGAGTGGGAGGGAGAGAGAGGAAGGGAGAGAGAGAGAGAAACATCGATGTGAAGGGACACACCGAGTGGCTGCCACCCGCACGACCAACCAGGGCCGGGGACAAACTGCAACCGAAGTACGTGCCCTTAGCGGGAACCGAACCCGGGTCTCTCCGGACCGCAGGCCGACGCTCTAACCGCTGAGCCAAACTGGCCAGGGCGACACATATTTCTTATGTTCAGCTCTGTGCCTTAGAAGTCTGATGTGGGTCTCACTGGATTAAAATCAAGGTGTCCTTGTGGCTGCATTTTTCTTCTGCAGGCTCTAGGCGAGAATCCATTTCTTGGCCTTTTCCAGCCTCTCGAGGCTGCCTGCGTGCCTTAGCTTGTGGCCCCTTTCTCTTATCTTCAAAGGCAGCAACATCACGTGTGTCTGACCCTTCTTCATAGTCACAGCTTCCCTCTGACCACAGCTGGGAAAGCTTCTCTGCCGTGAAGGACCAGTGAGATTAGATTGGGCCCATCTGGAAAATACCGGATAATCTCCTCTATCTCAAGGTCTTAATTTAATCACACTGGCAAATCCCTTTTGCCCCGTACGGTAACATTTTCACAAGTTCTGTGGAAAAGCCATGGGCATCTTTAGGGGAGCAGTGATCCTGCCCACCACAAGTAGGTTGTTTTCCTCTTTTTGAACTTAAAGTAAAAAGCCATTCACATCAGTGGTGTCTCTCAAATAACTATCTCATCATTGGCATGACAGAGGTATTGCTACTGTTTTGTCAGACTTCCCTTCTGGAAAAAGAGGTCTGATCTTTTTCCTAACCATTCATGAAGCCTGTCTCCCCAAGTCCAGGTGTAGTTTCATTCAGTCCCGTGCTAAGGCTAATGGTAATCTCAGAGTTGAAAGGGGATGTGAAGGCCTGTTGAGAGTTCTACTGTTTTCAATTGCAGTTTTAAAGTTTGAGGCAGCCTAAGTTTATAAGTGGTTCTCTATTTTATCAGTTTGGACCTATGAAATATGTCTATACCAGGGAAAGCCCTCAGTCACAGGTGGCCATTCTGTTCCCAGCTGTCCATTTTAATGGCTCCATTTTTGCTTCCGTTCAATAGGCAAGTCTTGTTGTCATACCCAGTTGGGGAGTGAGTGTGCCGTTAACATGGGGTGTGTGCTGGCCACCACGTGCCTGTTTTGTTTTGTTTTTTTATCCTCACCTGAGGACATTTTTCCATTTTTTGTTCAGATAGAGTGGGAGGGAGGGAGAGGAAGAGAAAGAGAGAGAAACATCGACGTGAAAGGGACACATCGAGTGGCTGCCACCCGCACAACCCAACCAGGGCCGAGAACAAACTGCAACCGAGGCACGTGCCCTTAGCGGGAACCGAACCAGGGTCTCTCCGGACCACAGGCCAACGCTCCAACCGCTGAGCCAAACTGGCCAGGGCCGTGTGCCTGTTTTTTAACTGAAAATTTAGTAAGTTGTTTAGTATGGCATCTCTGAGTAAGAATCTTAATCAGTTTTATGTCAGTGTTGCAAGAAAAGGTATAAATTGAGGAGAAGAAAATTGACATGTTAGATTCTAGAACAGTGGTTCTCAACCTGTGGGTCGCGACCCTTTTGGGGGTCGAATGACCCTTTTACAGGGGTCACCTAAGACCATCTGAAAACACATATTTCCCATGGTCTTAGGAACCGAGACTCCGCTCCTCTGTCTGTCTCCAGACGGGTCCGCCCACGTACAACATGAGGAACTGTACTAAAGGGTCAGGCATTAGGAAGGTTGAGAACCGCTGCTCTAGAAGCTTAATAGCTCAGGTTGAGAGAAACGTTTTCATTGTCTCTTAAAAATTCTGTTATAACCCTTGAATTAAAATTATGTTTGATAGTTGAGACTGCTCCTAAATCCAAATGAAGTGATGTTCTTGATGAGGACTCGACAGCTTGCACACCCCTCACGCTTTACAGATGGAAGAAGCCTTTTGTTTGTTTTGTTTTCCTCTAGGTTTCACCAGAATATTAATTGTGTTCAGATCCACAAGCAGAGGTTCTCTCTAGGAAGCGGGACTGTAAGGGAATAAATGTGCACGCCAGACCTCTCCATCCTCCGGCCGAAATGTGTCTGTGGTCTGGAACTGCAAAGAACACACTGTCCTGTTACTTGCACTGTTCTGAGAGGAACTGGTACAGATGTCAGGGGGCCAGACACACAGCATCTTTTTCTGATCGTTGTTTTCTGAGACTTCGTTTTCTCAGTTTCAGCCAAGGACACTGGCTTGTTGGGGATGATGTTTTTCTGTAGACAAGTGTTCTGTGGCAGATGGTGGTGTTGATCCTTGTTCATAGGAACGTTTTGGAGCGGGGTCTAGGAGAAGAGTGATTGTCCAAAAGCCAGGCCCGAGACAGATACCAAACAGAGAGATTTTGAGCATTGCTTGGGCATCAAATGTGTTCCTGCCTTATCCTCATCCCTACTGTTTCAGAGAATGAGGCCGTCTTCCTTTTTTTCAATAAGCAATAATCAGGCCTGGGATAGACCTCACTGGCTACGATACTGCCCCTGCACAAAGCTAGGTATTCCTTTTTGGGGGAGGTTGGGTTTAAATGTTTATTAAACCAAGCTTTTAAGTGATATCCACTTACAGTGTGTAAATAAATACAGTCCACATGTAAGTCAAAGGTCTTAGATGAGAATTAGTGGGAAAATTAAAGAGCCCTCGGCATGCTGGTGCCTCCCCACTCATTGGGCTGACGCCAGAGCCCATGTTAGAGTTGAAGAGTTCAGGGACAAACCAGAAGGAGGTTAGCTCAGCTCCGCCTGCTGGATGGATTTCAAGACAGGTCATTTTTCTGTATTCTAGTAGATTGGGTTATAGCAAGACAATAGTGTAGTTTTTACATTCACAGATTGGCTGGAATTAGACAAATTAAGCATCTCTTCTGGATGTCACCTTCCCTATTACCATAATTAGTCAGAGATCACCGGCCACAGGTGGTTACAGAAATAGATAACTCATAGAGCAATAATATCTATAGTTAGCAGAGCACAAACTTATAAAATTTGACTTTTCCCATAATGCACAGATATCAGGGTATGTCCATGAGGTACAGTCCGCAGACTGGAGAGTGGTAAGGGAGCATCTGCAAAGAACAGACACTCGAGTACAGAACCCGGAGCAGGAAGCTGAAGACAGATGAGAGACACACAGACAGAATCCTAATTCTTTACCTCTGGTTATCCTCCTTAACAGACACCACAATTAGCTTACCGCCCTTCTTGTTCCTTAAAAAGCAACACTTTGTAACCTGTGTATAAACTTTAAAAAAGATTAATCATGAGACAAGCAAAAATTGATTAACTTAATAGCACTAAAATCAATGAAACTTAATAGCATTTTGTGTGCTTTCTTATACATTTCTGTGAATGGGGCTTACTTATAAGCACCGTTATAATGCCCCCAAAATGTTTTGATAGAGTTTTTCAAATTCCCACAAAAATCTATTTTACAATCATTTCAGATATAGAAGGAAAAAAGTCCCAAACAGGAAAGTAAAGAAAGGTCAAAATCTCACAAAGTGATTGAATACCCATGAATATGACATTTTTATGTTCCCTTAACACTTTATCAAGTGTTATATAAAGTAGTTGTAATGCTGTCCTGAAACCAGTCTCATTTAAGAAGGTACAGTTATTCCTATTCTAATTCTAGAATGAAAAGCACTTATCTCCTAGAGCGTGCGTTTCAGCAAGGTTGACATCTATTGGTTGCACTCACCGCCGCCCGCTGAAAGCTTCCCCAAAGCGTCCTGGCAGACGTGAACTGTAAAATTCGAGAACTAACACTACTACGTTCTGATTTCTCAGAGGTATGCTTGAGATGTTCTAGAGTCACTTCAGCCTAGAACAGTATCCCCTGGAAACTTTGCCAAGAAAAAAAAATCTCCATAATCTAAATGTGTTTGGGACTCGCTAGACTAAATAAACAGTTTCCACGGACATACTAACGTACATTCCACACCTTCAAGGAGCAGCTGTCCCCGAACTCCCTTGACCTTCTAGGGACCCAGAACCACCACTGGATCCCAGGATCCCGGTTTCCGGTGGAACACAGTTTGAGACATGGCATTCTAAAGTAAATTTTCTAAAGTAGTGGTTCTAAAATCGTAGTGAACAGAAGGAACCCATGGAAGGCATATTAAAGCATAGATACCACACACCCCACTTCAGAGGTCTGCAGTGGGACCTGGGAACTTGCATTTCTACGACACACCAAGTGAAGCCGATGGTGTGAGGACCACACTTTGAGTGGTGTCGTCTAGTCCATGTCCCACAAATTCCAGTTGCAGGAAGCCCTCCCAGGCCTCAGGGAAGGTTGCATATGGCATTTGCCACAACCAATTAACTGGTTAGATCAGCCCAGTGACATGTGAGAAGGTCCCGGGGCACCTTGGTGGGGTGGCGGAGCACTAGACTTGACTCTTGCCTCTGCCCTCCTCACCAGGTAATGACTGCACCTTAAACGAGGAATAATAGCAGCCGCCTCTCAGGGGATCTGTGAAGCTTAAAGGAAACTATCTCACAGAAAGCATCAGACAAGTGTTATTAATCAGAAGACTGTGTCAGTCCCAGCAGGAAAATCCCAGATGAGTTTTCTGTCTTCTGCCACTACTGAGCCTTTATGAAAGCAACATTCCAGCAGCGAATGAAGAGAAAAGAGGCTAAAAACAAAGAAACCTGCAATGAGAGGAGAATATACAGTGGATTACTTAATCTAAAATATCTAATTGTTGCCCTAGCCAGTGTGGCTCAGTGTTTGGAGTGTTGGCCCGCACACCACGGGGTCATGGGTTCAATTCCTAGTTAAGGGCATCTACTTGGGTTGCAGGTTCAATCCCCGGCCCCAGTGGGGGTCATGCGGGAGGCAACCAATCCATGTGTCTCTCTCACATTGATATTTCTCTCTCTCCCACTCTCTCCCTCCCTTCCACTCTCTCTAAAAAAATCAATGGAAAAATATCCTCAGATGAGGATTAACAACAAAAATACCTAATGAATTGTTTAAGAAAAGATCAACTCACAAAGTCCTTAAGGCTTTGAGAGAGTGTTTAAAAGTTCTAGTGTGTTGATCTTTGAACACACTCGCTCTTCTGTTCTGCCATGTTGTTAATGCTGGTTAAATTTTAACATCAAGAGAATGTGGGAAAAAATTGCTTCACTCAGATACATATTAATTAGATCTAAAACATTTAGCTGAGACAGTTCCAGTCTTGCAAGCTACCAAGGTGGGAGGATGAGATTTTTTTTTTTTTTTTAGTCCTCACCTGAGGATACTTTTCCATTCATCTTCAGACAGAGTGGGAGGAAGGGAGGGGGGTAGAGAGAGAGAGAGAGAGAGAGAAACATTGATGTTTGAGAGACACATCAGTTGGTTGCCTCCCTCACGAACCCTACCAGGGCCGGGACTGAACTGCAACTGAGGTACGCGCCCTTGACTGGAATCAAACAGGCCAGGACAGATGAGGTATTCTTAAACTTCTGCTGTCCACTCTCTAGTCGCTCATTTATCCATGCATTCAACTGTGTCCCATTTAAAATGAATAGCACGTGTCTCCAGCCTGCATCTTTTCCTTACAGCTGTTCTGTTTCTCTTGTCCCTTCAGCAGCCAGGCCTCAATACAGCATAATCACCTCGAGCTGTTGACACTTACCTCCAGTCATTGGCGTGCCCGGATGGCCGCTCAGTCACACCCTGACTATACTCTTCCAAGGCTTCGAGCGACTGCTTTTGGATCAAATAAATCCGAGGGACACTTCAGCCCTCGTCTTACCTAGATTCTCTGCGGCCTTGGGCATCTTGACCACCTCCCTTCAGAGATTCCGCCTCTTCAGGCTTCCCTTCTGTTTCTTTTCCAAGCTCTTCCTTTACCCATTTTTACGTGTTTATGTTCAACGGCTTGTTTGCCTCTCAGTCTATACTCTCCCTGGGTAACCTCATTTATTTCTGTGGTTTCTTGTCCCCTGTGCCCCTGGATTCCCGTCTGTTTTCCCAAATCCACATCTGTGTAACCAGCTGCCTATGAAACAGTACTGCCTGGAAGTCTCAAGTGTTTCTCGAGTTCAACATGTCCACACTGTGGTCGTCACCTGCCAACACAGTCCATCTCTCTGTTGTTTCTCTCAGCAAAGCCACCACCTTCTACCCAGTGATTTCCCCCTCATCTGCCATTTCTCCCTGTTTCCCCCTCTGGTTAGTTACCGTCTTAATATCTCACGATTGTATTTTCCTCCTCTCCATCTCAACCGCTGGCATTTCATCACCTTGCCTACTGCAGCCACCTTCTGGCTGCCTCGCTCCCGGCTCTCCGTCCACCACACACCTCCGGCAGAGCTGCCTTTGGATCATGGGTCAGCCCGTTGATCTCTTTTAGACTCAATCAAGACTCTCACTGATGAGGATGTGTTTGCACCTGGTGATATATGCAACCACGGTGCTATTGTTGAAAGATCACGGGTTTGGGATTCCGGGAGGCCGTTGTTAATATCACCAGAAAGAGCCTTTGCTTTCCTCTGAGGTGATCTGATGTGGTTAGTATCCCTCCCTCAATTCAAAATCACATGTTCACCAAAACCTTTCTCTTTGTTTTTCAGAACGACATTTTCCTCAGACATTACGACAAAGGGCCATGTAGGAACAAGCTCGGCCATTCAAGGGCCTCAGTGATATGGAACCGGACACAGGTACCCTGACCTTAAAAGGGGCATGAGATAAACCAGACTCACGATGGCTGGAGAAGGCTACCCATTCATCGTCCCCTCTTCACTCCTGCTTACCCAGTCCAGCCTGGGAGGTTCTGGGGCGGGGCCAGTAGTGTAGCAATTGCCTGAAGTTAATTCATGAGCACAGCTCTCTTGAGGAGAGGTGGAGAGGCCGGGCACCAAAGTAGGCAAGTAATTAACAGTGACTTGCAGATGAAGGCAGGTGTTCTCTCCTCCTGAAAAAAAAACAAACCAGTGGAATGACTTTCCTGAAGCTTTCCCCACACCCTGCTGTGAAAGACAGTGCTCTGACCCCCGGTGAGCCAGGCTCCCTCTGCGCATGCCCTGTGGGTTCCGTGGCAGGTTCAAAGGGAGCCCTGGTTTATTTTTAATAGTGTTTCATATTTATTAAAGGCTGTGTTCCTTTTGAAGGAGGCTGTGTTAATAGCCTAGTAATCATTATTAACATCCCTATGAGACTGTTGAGGAAACTCAGGTGGAGAGAGAGCCAACACCAACATTTCATGATTATGCTGAGCTGGTGCCAGAGCCCGAGTTTGCGTTTGGCTTGTTCTGCTCACCTTTGGTTTAGCCTCTGGTATCTCCCTGGTTTATGCCGTTCAGACCATTGCTGGGCACTGGATAAAAGGTCCCATAATTGTGACTGTTTTGTGTGTCTGAGACGGTGCTGCTATAACAGGTTACCATAGGTGGGTGGCAAAACAACAGACATTTATTTCTCACGGTTCTGGAGACTAGAAGTTCAAGGTCAGGGTGCCAGCAGGGCCGGGGTGGGTTCAGGTGAGGACTCTTGTTGGGTCACAGATGGCTGTCTTCTCGTTGTGTTCGCACCTGGCAGAGGGTGAAGAGAGCGGAAGCAAGCTCTCTGGGGTCTCTTCTGATAAGGGCACTAATCCCTTCATGGGCGCTCCACCCTCACGTCCTAATTCCCTCCCAAGGAACCCCATTTCCAGACATCATCATATTGAGGATTAGGGTTTCAACATGAATTTTGCGTCCATAGCTGATGGCAGAGTACACATATAGGAAGATTTAACTGCTAAAATCATCTTGTTTCTGTTTTCTAAATTTCCAGGTGGTTGGGATTCTTGTGGGGTTGGGCATCATTGCCTTGGTGACTTCACCCTTGCTGCTTCTGGCTTCCCCGTGTATCATCTGCTGTGTCTGCAAGTCCTGTCGGGGCAAGAAGAAAAAGCACGACCCGTCCACAACCTAAAGATCCCTGCTTGTGTCTGCGTGCCACACACACGAGACAGCACAGCGACAAAGCCCACTTAGTGAACTCGCCTCCTTTTTCTTGCCAAATTTTGGAAGTGCCTCTGTGTCCAGACTTTGAACTTGCCTGCCCGCCTGTGGCATCAGCAAAGGCCAAGCACTGGTGTGTGTACTCCTGAGTAAAGAGCATCGGGTTCTGCAGTCCAGCCTGTGTCTGTGGAGCACATCAGAAGCTTCGGGTTCTTGGGAAGGAACTAACCCAGCCGTATCATCTGCAGGATCCCACGGGACTGTTCAACTTCCAGCCACATTCAAGGAGCCTGAGTGGACATTCAGTATAATAAAGGTGTTGTCATGGTTGGCAACACGCATGATAATTGAGAAGCAGGGTCTGTGCTGTGTTGATTTGGCTACCATGGGAGAGGTGGGGGAAACCCCGTGGATAAGGCTATTTCAGGGAGCATTCTTGTCAGACTGATAAAGCAGGCTGCTTATCTCGGGAGTCGATATGGTGGCTCCACCTCTGCCAGCTACTGGGTGTGCTTGCCCAGCGTTCCCACGGGGACCGGGCAGAGGCACAATAGGTTTCTCCTCGTGTGATCTCAGCTTCAAGCAGGAGAAACTGCTGTGCAGAGGAAGTTGTCCCTTCCCAGTAAAAGGGTTTCAACATATAAAACAATATGGTCTAATTTAGTCTCTCTGCCTTGGCAAGTGTAACTTTTTTAAGCTGATAAACTCTTCTCGTGCAGCCAATAGCTGCTGTCGGCAAACTTGTTTTACATGAAGTATTTGGGTGGAGCGGCAGAGGTTCAGACCTTCGTCATAGATAGCAGGGCCCCTTCTTGAGCTCTGTTCATACACCCCCAAGATTTAGAATTAGACCTAAAAGTACACGTGAAGAGTGAGTATTGAAGTCCATATGTACATCTAGAACCCATGTATCTCGCTGCCTACCTAGAAATACTATCCACTGGGCATGCCTGGATAGACACACAAAATAACAGTGTATTACACACACTAGTGCAACACACAAAAGAAATGTCTATGTAAAAGCCATTCTCTATTTCCTCCTGTGACTAATCTTGTTTATTATAAATCAACCTAAACATTTTTTTGCATATTGTATATATAAATTTTGGTTGCAAGTTCTTAACTTACGCAAGTATAGACTCATAAACATAACTCTTTTAAAACAATACTTAGTAAGACATCATGCCATCTCAGTTTGTAAAAGTACTGATCGATAATCATGTTATTTATGTTTTTTTGTTGTTGTTTTAGCGAGAGGAAGGGAGAGAGAGTGAGAGAAACATTGAAATGAGAGAGAAACATCAATCAGTTGCCTCTTGTATAAGTCCCAACTGGGGGCCAAACCCACAACCTCGGTATGTGCTCTGAGCAGCACTCGAACCTGAGACCTCATGGTGTACGGGACAGCGCTCCAACCAGCTGAGCCACTCGGCCAGGTTATTTCCATATTTTCAAACAGAGTTCAGAGCAGCTGTCTTCTCAGCAGTTCAGTATCTGTCAGGGCAGCCAGAATACTTTTCTGCATGTACAAGGCACTGATGGAACAAAATTACATAAGAAATAAAATGAACCCTGGCCGGTTCTGCTCAGCCGTTAGAGCATTGACCTGTGGACCAAAGGGTCACAGGTTCTATTCCAGTCAAAGGCATGCACCTGAGTTGTGGGTTTGATTCCCAACCCCAGTGGGGGTCGTGCAGGAGACATCCAATCAATGTGTCTCTCTCACATATCCATGTCCCCCCCACCCCGTCTCTCCCTCCCTCCCTTCTACTCTCTCTAAAAATCAATGGAAAAATATTCTTGGGTATGGATTAATAAAAAAAGAAGAAGAAAATGACTTATTTTTCCCATTATACCATTAGAGTCTGAATACACGGGTTTTGAAAAGAAACTTGTTTCTCCAATGACAGGATGACAGAACCGCTGTGAGCAGAGTGGCCCGGTGCCTCCTGAGCACTGTATGAAATGTGTGTGGCGCCGGGTTGCCACATCAGGAGCTGTCAGGACCCGGATATGTTCTAAGTACCTGGGTAACTAGATTTCTAAGTTGCTGCTATCCTGGACCTATTTTTAAAGAGTAATGCTTTGCCTATGTAATGGAATGTATCCTCAGTGGGGATATGTATATTTAAGGAATTTTAATTCACACGTACATATTGTTATATATATAGTACTTTTGGTCATGTATATTTTTATTTACAGTTTGTATAGAACATTGACAAGAACTCTGGGAAAACTTTTGAATGGCAGCCACCAAAAGCATTTTTATCATTGATTAGAAATTTCTCAATGTTAAGTGTCTTTATTTTCCGTTGAAGCTCAAACACTTCAGAAAAAAACAAACAAACAACTCTCTTCAATCAATGTATTTCATAGTAGTATAAATTTAAGTGTGTATATATATTTGAATAATTTGCTTTGTCTTACACTGCCTCATTACAGTAAAAGGCATTTATAACTGCTCAGGGGAATCACAGGAACTCAACTGAAGTTGAATTTTTGTATCAAGAATGTCAGTAGTGCAATGTACTCCTCAGTTAGTAAACTCTTCAAGTGTGCTTCCACAAAGGATCTTAAAACGGGCTAATTTCAAGTAACCTAAAAGGCTGTGTTATTAAAGGTGGGGCTTCTGAATTTGGGGTAAAAGTGGAAGAAAACATCTTATTTCCTTGGAAAAATGGAAGGAATTGTATTCTCACAGAGACTGTTATAACAGAATTAGCTCTTTGTGTGGGGGGTGTGGGGGGTAAGGAGTGGGGTTGTTTGTCAAACAGACGTGAAATAACTGCATTTCAGTTTTTAAATGTTGAAAAGCACCTGGTGACTTCTTCCTTAAGTAGATGAGTTGGCCTGTGTGCGATTGTCAGAAGCAACAGGAACAGATTGGTAGGTGAAATCCAAGTCCATCTCTGGTGCATTAGGGTTGAGATGTATGCTGATCAAGAGTTGCTTTATAAAGGAGAGAGCCGACAACTTTGTAACAGAGACTGATGTTATCATTTTGGATAATTTGCCCATGAATGGATTCAACCTTGTCTCCTCTCTCTGTCAGCTTTAGTCTTTCCTAGTGATTCTCATTCTGTACTAGGAATAAATCTGAGTCTACGTGATCGTGTTTGGATGTTGTGGCAACATCCCTTTGTGTTTGGAGTGATATAGTCCGTTTGAAATAGAAATTTTAAAAAATTCTTCACTGAAATTGTAATCTGGATGCAATAACTTACCATTCAGAAACACCCCTGGGTTTGTCATGGCATAGCATCTGGCCGTCACCCCTTCTAGGAATTTTTCTTTTTTTCCTAGGGAGGGAGGTGAGGAGGAAAGTCATGTGGAAGGCAATTTTAGAATCTTAGGCATCCTGTTTGTTCATGCCATGGATGTTTGCTCTGGGCTTGAAATCTCTCTTTTGCAGGAGGTCTTTGAGAAATGAATAATTCACAGTGTTGCTTATCTTGTAGCCTGCATCACAAAAATCTTACCTACCCAAGTCTGAAAAATCGAAATGCTTATTTGAATGTAAATCACTGCTTCTTGGAACCTCAAAATAACTCTTAAAAAGTATTCAGATTCTAACTATATGTATTTCTTTAGCCTTTCCTACACAGCGCTTCTAAAAGACTTTCTGTTCATGAATGGATGCCTTTATGTGTATAGAATCATGTATATATGTGTAGCTTCAGAGAAAATTTCAGAATGCCTTTGGTGAATGACATTTTTAAAAGCTGTCACAATTGATATCTTTAGGCTATTACATCTCATATTGATTCATAATCTTGAAAGTTTTGTTATGTATTTAAGAAATTGCTGCCATATTATATTTTTCCAATTATGTGAGAGGAAAATAGTTGTTTTTGTGTCTCTAGCCCCAATAAATGTGGAGCAGGAAAACAATTGTGTTAACTCTTGTGGTGCTGTATGTTTTTAGACATGTTTAGTTTCATCATCTAGGTGCCAACCATGTCACTATTAAATCCTAGGCCCAGAATTGACACCAAGGATCCAAATCTGCAATGCTATTTATGGAAGTAACTCTTGCTGCCTTATTTCTTAAAAGAAATGAGAGCAAAGGCAATGCCTTCACTAGCTGCGGACTTTCTTGTATGTGTGATATTCCACGCTGCCAGGGCACAAGCATTGATCCTTATCCAGAGAAATAACCAGTAATTTAGGCCGTTGATCATTCTAGTAAAAAATGCTGCCAGGCATCAAAATCATTAGTTCTGTAAAACAAGGGTTGGACTACATGCTCTCTAAGGTCAGTTCTAACCTTCCAAAAGTTTGCTAGAGGAATGTGCTTCCTTGTTATGATTTTTTAAAAACGGGATTTACATTAGAGTGTCAACGCGAGGTCATTTCCATTTGATTAGTATTCAAGGCAGGAAGGACTCCCCTAAATCTGGTGCCAGAAGTTGGTTAACAACTAGAACTTGTTTTCCTGTAAAACTTAAAGCTCACATTTGTATAGTGGTGTTGATAGCTTTTTATCGACTATTTTACGCTTCTAATATACCTGAGTACAAAGGTTTATAATTGACTTGTAAATTGAAATTTTATTTTCTAAGCCTTTAGTTTTGAGGAAATCAGTAACATCATTTTAAAACATTTTGGGTGATAGTTTTTTAATTTGCTTAATCATTCCCTAGAATGTCAACATTATTTCATTTTTAAAGTGTGTTATTGTTTGCTAAACTTGAATTTGCATTTCCAAAGAATTATTGAATGAATCATTTTGTACAGCAGTGATTTTAATCAATGCCGAACCAGCAGACTCGTCGCAATATAAATTATGAATCTAGTGAATTTGGAGAATTATAATTAGGATTTTCTGTAATTCATTTATTTCCATTTGTTAGATAATAAATGTAGGGTTGTGTGTGTGTGTGTGTGTGTGTGTGTGTGTGTGTTTTAGACCCTAAAGATAGTATGCAACTCTACGTTATGAGAAAAAAATGTTTCTTCAAATAATTTAATAGCAATTACAATGTTTTAATATATTTTACATATGCCTTTTAAAGAACTTTGAGAACAATCCTATAAGATGAAGGGATCAGATCTATTTCACAGAGAAAGCAATGGTTTTGTGTGCGTGTCTTGCCAAGGGTCACGCTTTGATGAGTGGCAGCCAGAAAAAGAACGCCAGACTCCTTGAAAGTACTTTAATGCTCTTACACTCATCAATAATTCTGAACCTGCCTTTATGCTCCTATCTGTGAGTCCCAAGAGAATGCACTTTCCTCTCAATTATTTGCATCAGTGGAGGTATATGTAAAAGAATAATTTATTATGTTGAATAATCACTTTGACTCTGTGTTTTGGTGTGTCTGACATGGTGCCTAGGGCAGATGGCCACCCCCTGAGATCAAACCAGTCACTGTGGGGCTCAGCTGGGGGAGAAGGGCAGGAGGAGAGGGAAGGTGATTCATTAACTAACTAGGTGGGGTGAATCTGACTTGTTAATATTGGAACTAGAATTATGCTTCAAATGCCAAAATGTTTACCTCTTCCACACAAATACAAAGTGCATTCTCAGAGGTCCCTTTTGATGTTTACAGTCCAGCAAGTGTTAATGCAGATCCAAATTCTTTCTTCCAGCTTGTACTCTGATGTGTATTTCTGGCCTATCATCAAATCAACCGACTGACTGTCAACAGCAAGAAATGCTCTGAATAATGAACTTACTGAATGAATTTCTGATGTGTGTGTGTGTGTGTATATATATATATATATATAAAGAGGTTGTATTTTGAGTTTCATTTTTCTGCTTTTATGTTTTTTAATTTATCAGTGCAATTTTATCATCTTCCTCTTGCGTGTTAAAACTAAAATTTAGGCTTTTGGTGAGAAGGAAATTCAGTCTATATTTTCTTTTTAAAGAGTAGATGGGTGGTTGACATTAATGGCATTGAACACATTCACATAAAATAAACATGAAGGTTTTCTTGAGGGGAGTTATGGGGCTTCTGCTGATTGATCGACCTGGACTTATTTTTTGTATCCAGGCCAGTTTATTTAACTAAAAGCAAACAAGTCCAGAGATCCACACACCACCCTGCATGGTGTGTGCTGAATTCCAGCCTGGCCCTGGGACTTTGGCACCACAAGGGCACATGAACAGAGTGTTGGAGAGCACGGGCCAATCTGGTGTCAGCCTGGGCACAGAACAGGCAGGAAGCATCCTCTGTCCTCCCTGTCCTCTCCTCTGCTAATCCATGCAGGGGGCAGGGGCAGGGCGGGGCAGACTCCCAGCTTGTAATAAGATGACTTCAGTTCCAGGCCTGACATTGCTCTTGACTGGTGGTGTGGTCCAGGGCCAGCCATTTATCATACAGCATCATTTCATCCGTCTTAGCCCTGGCTGAGGAGGACTGGATGAGATCACAAATGTCACAGTACTTCTGAGTGTTGTTTGTTAGGAGGTGGGGGGAGGGAGCCGTTGCAGCTCTGAGGGGCATTGTGCAGTGTGAGCTGTGCGTGCTGTGGCGGTGAGTGGGGTGATGAGTTTTCAGCCAGACACTGATCCCAAAGGAGAAGGGGGAGCTAATAGATTTCAAACCTGTAAAAGTGTGTTGAGGAAGGAATGACCTCAGTAAATATATTGGCTTTTTAGATTTAAAAGATTTCTTGATGTTGCTTTTTTTCATGAAGGA